GGGGGGGGGGATTTGATTGATACAAATCGGCTACAGTGTGTATTATCGTGACAAAAGTATAACACACTCTATGCTCCAATGTGATGTGGTGGAGGAGTACAAATACCTGGACACCCATATACACAACAGAGTGAACTAGTGTAGTATTCAGCTCATTCACCAACATTACTCATAAACCAAAACAGGACAGAAGTAACAACGCAGGCTTTGGTAAATGTACCTCTCGGAAAAAAGAAGTCTTGATAAGGCAAGACATTCCATTGTTTTCCCAATGGTCATATAAGTGAATTCTGCATGGATTCATTAAAAAAAAAACAAAGCCTTGTCAAGATTTCAAGGTTGGCAGTGTAGTGGACATTAGCAAAACTGTATTTTGATAAAAGTTAAGGTCTCCAAAGCATTCTCTCGCTTGTTTGCTTGATTATGCTTTAAAGACATCAAAATGCATAGTGGGATTAGTATACAAGTAAAAACTGTGACAAGGATTGGCACAGAACAGATAAACATAAGAAATCACTTGGCAGCAAGGTGATGAATTAGGGTGGTCTGCACTTCTTCTTTGACTTTGTGACAGGAGTTGAAAATAATTGGATGAGAGAGCCATGGGAGGGCCCTGCAACCTTCTGCATTTTAAATGGCGTCATAGCTGGCACTGAGTACTGGGGAAAAAACATTTTTTCTGTCCCCGAGGGCCCTGAAGTGACTGGCACTGTTTCTGAGCCATGGCACGGGCGCCAGGGCAGGAGTGCTGGGAGTGAGTGCAGCCAGGACACCTGAAGTGGGAGTGTCTGCTGATTGAGGTGGGACAGGTGTTCCGCATCGCTGGGGCTCCGGCACCCTCCCCGGTCCCTGAGGGACATACAGCATCCTCGTAAGGAGTCAAGTCTTTATTGAGTGAGTTGTGACACTTGCACAGAGAAGTGTCTTTGCGTCCACTGCCATAAATGGAGGTCCCGTTTGAGGCTGTTGGCATGGATCACTGGATGCAGTTATCACTTTGTCTTAGTTCTAGTGGTTTATGCAACGTGATACCCAGAAGTAGTGCCACTGCGCACTGCAAAGAGAGTGGTGCAGGTGCTGCTGTTTCAGGTCATTTCAGTCTGTAAAATCCATGATTTGTAAGTTCATTCATGAGATGTGAACATAGTTGGGATCGCTGGTTAGACCCTCTGTTGATTGTAGGCCTCCATGGAATTTTCTCCCTTTGAGTTACTGTTCTGCAGGAAGCTACAGGGCTGCTCAACCTAATCAAATAAAACTGGAAGGAAGGTCTGAGTCCTGCTAAAAATGAGATTCAGTATGTCCTGGACTTGTGAGCAAAGCTGCATACTTTGGGGTGATCATTTTGAGAGAATTTGCACCAGGCCCAGGAGCGGCAGCAGTGCCAGTACAACAGACAGGCTAGACTTTGGCAAATTTTCACCTGGAGATAAAGTGCTTTTTTTGCTACCTTCTTCTCGCTTGAAATTACTCGCCAAGTGGCAAGGACCCTTCATGGTCACACGGCGAGTGGGGGACGTTGACTATAAAGTGATATGGTCGAACAGGGGAGGTGCCACTCAAACTTGTCACCTCAACCTCCTTAAAGCGTGAAGAGAGGCTGAAACTGATTCTCCGGTGAGCCTGGTAAAAGAGAGAGATGAGTTGGAGCCGGAGGTACCAAATTCCACCATTCCCGCCTCCCTCCATTGTGATAACCATCTCACATAGTCCCAGAAAATGGATGTTGCAGCATTGCAACAGTGTTTTGCAGATTGTTCTCCCTGCTGCCTAGCTGTATGACTCTCATAGAGCACCATTTTGAAACGCAGCCTGGCGTGATGGTGCATTTACAGCCCTACAGGTTCCCTGAACATAAGCGACAAATTGTTCAGAAAGAATTGGCTGAAATGCTGAAAATGGGAGTGACAGAACAGTTGCACAGTGCTTGTTGTAGGCCCATAGTTCTGGTTGTGAAGAAAGATGGGTCTATACGGTTCTGTGTCTATTACTGCAAGGGGAACAAAGTGTCATGGCTTGATGCCTACCCCATGTCCTGGGTCGACGAGCTCCTGGACTGCTTAGGCAGGCCAGTGTTATTTTTCATGACACTGGATTTAACCAAGAGGTACTGGCAGATTCCCTTGTCTGCAGAATCCAAGGAAAAGACAGTATTCTCCACTCCATACAGTTTGTACCAATTCATCACACTGCTGTTCGGCTTGTTCAGAGCTCCGGACACAGTACTGTGGTAACACCTGGGCGAACGGAAAGCATTGTGTGTGCCAGAAACATTAAATAAAAACTAACCAAACAGTTACAGAATGCTGTGTGGGTCAGAGTCTTTCACATATAGATGATGACATATTGAAAGATTTGCAATTTTACACAGAGGAACATTATTCTGGAATTGTTTCATAATTGAAAACAGATTTTTGCACAAGGTGACACTCTGTCTCTAAAATGCTCTGATTACACACAGTCATGTTACCAACCTGTGGCCAACTATTCAAATTAAGTGCAAAATGTTCCTCCAGCTGTTTCTTTTCTTTTTTTCCCTTTTTTTTTTTTTTTTTAGTAATAATTGCTTTTCCAGCCTTTACATAGTAAAATGTCTCAGCTTAAACATCTGATATGTTTTCTGTGTTTGGGTCTGTAAAATTTGCAGATATTCACATTTTTTTTAATGTTTTACCAGCTCAACTTTTTTAAGAACTTGGACTGTATAAATTATGTTTCCTTGGTTGTTATGGAGTTGAATGTTTTACCAGTGTTGGTAGCTGCATAGGAAGACTGACCAATACACCATATCTGGGTGTAATGTCACATGGCAATATCTGGAATAGAACATGGGGTCCTGCTGGCTGTGCAGTGACTGAAAAGCTGCACTCACCTGAGTATGCAGGTTTATCATGTCGGCCTCCATCTCTGAGTTGGACTCATTCAGCTCGTTGATTTCCTTATTGAGCTGCTTGATATCTTCATCATTGTCCAGCACTGAGCAAGATCAGAAATTCACTATTAGCAAAATGAATGTGAAGACAACTAATAGTCCTGCTTTGGTAGCCTGTTATTTGGATTACACTCAGCATTTAAACTATCTGATTGTAATCTGATTGTTGGGGTTTTCTCTCTGTTATAGTAGTGGTTTTACAATATAAAGTACCTTGGGGCAACTGTTGTTTTGCTTTAGTGCTATATAAATAAAATGTAACTCTCATTGTGAAGTATAGGAGCAAAAACAAATGTAACACAGGCATAATTTTGAGCAGAGAGGAAACATCACGGTTTCTTACCATCACTGGCTCTGAACTTTGCAGTGATATACTCATCTCCAGGGAACTTGGCTCTTTTCTTGTTGGCTGATGCTCTGGGACAACCTGACAGACTGAGAGAAGCAGCTGATGAGGATCAAGAGCTCTTACATTCTCACACAAGGCTGAAATAGTGGACACATGGATGAGAAGGGACACACACACACACACACACACACACACACACACACACACGCACGTCTTGAGCAACCCCTCATTTTTTCAGATTTTGCCAGGAAAATGGAAAATAGGTTTTTATTTAAGTGTACAAACATACATGAAAATACAGCAAAAATAGAATTTGTACATTTCAAATTAGCTTTATTGTAAATATTTTGCATGGCCACCTTTATTATTTGTCAAAGAACAATTCAAAAAACCCTCATGGAACTGAGTTCTTGGGGCTGGTTAACCTTAAATTGTGGCCCACCATTGGATCCAGCCCTGGGTCCATGGGGCCTGTTCGGGCATAGCACACAAAAATAACATAGTTTTGCCGCCCTGTGGATCCACCACCCATGGGTGCAAGCACTGTGATTGGGTGCAATGTTTCTCTATAGAGACTTCAGTGCCCACAATGAAGTCTCGTTGGAGTTACCTGGTGAGGGATGATTGAGAGTCCCTCTCAATCATCCCTCTCAAGATTGAGAGAAACAGCTTGCTTGATCTAATCCAGTGGTGTTTTGTTATTGGAAATCTGTGCTAGGCATGGGTTGGTGAAAACAAAAGCCATGTTCAAGCATAATATTGAACTCGTTACCAGAGCACCTTAGGTTAATGATGGACATTGTTATTAGATTATCTGATATGAAGCCATATATCAAATCAAAAAATTGTATGTATACATACACACACACACACACACATACACACACACACATATATATATATATATATATATATATATATACATTGTTCACTCAGCTGAAAAGGTGAACTGAGTTTTGTAAAATGTTCACCACATCAAAGTAAACTGAGTCAGATGGTGGCCAAGACCGCTGGACAGACCTGGAAAACCCAAACAAGTAGTGATGATAAACTGAGTGGCTGATAGAGGCCCATGTCTGTCGAATCTTTAACTCCCACATCTGAAAGGATTTCTTTTGCATCCCAGGGGAGGGTGAGGTAAATAAAGTCATAATGGGCCATGTTCAGGACCAATTCGGAGGCATCCAGCTCATCTGTACCTGTCACGGCAGTAGGACCAGGGGTGTTCTGAAGCAGTAGAGCAGTATCAGAGCACCAAAAGGGCTGTGGCTTTGGCAATTGTAGAATCATGGGTGTGAGCACTATGTTTGGATGAGATTCACCCTCACATCTCAACATTGACACTGACATTGTGGGGCTGTCAAATTTAACAAACAAATGTAACAAATCTAAGCATGTTTTCAGCAGGTGTTGGATTCAACCCCTTGTCTCTAACGTTCTTGATTTATATCGACAGGATTGCAAGGCATTTCCAGGTTGAGAAGGGTGTGGAAGAGAAGAGTGCAATCTTCAGCATGCACTGGCGCAGTTTACAACAGAGTAGGAAATGTCTGGGATGAGAGTCAGCACACCCAAGAGTCTGAGGCCATGGTTCTTTGCCAGAAAAAGAGTGGAATGGTCTCTCTGGGTCGGAGGCGAGAGGCTTCCTTAATCAAGGGAGTTCAAGTGTCTTTTTATTCATGAGTAATGAGTAACGGAGTACAGGTTGGACTGACAGATTGGTGTGGCATCAGCTGTAATGTGAGCATTGTATTGGATTGCCATAGTGAAGAGGGAGCTGAGCTGAAAGGCAAAGCATTCAATTTACCAGTCCCTCTACATCACAACCCTTACCGTTGGTTATGAAATCTGGGTAATGGCTGTTTGCAAGAGTTTCCTCTGTAGGATGGCTGGGTTCGGCTTTAGACAAAGGTTAGGGAGCTCAGACATCCAGAAAGATTTCAGAAGAAAGCTGTTTCTGCGTGTGAAAAAGAGCCTGGGCACCTCCTTTTGGAAATGTTCCAGGCACACCTAACTTGGAAGAGACCAGATCTCCAACCCTACTGGCTGAAATGTACCACCAAACCATGACAGAGCTCCAGTTTTTTTTTTTTTTTTTTTTTAAATACAACTCCCTGTAAACAACTACTATTATATATTTCACCTGACCTTTTCTGAACATTTTTTTTATAATTCCAAATTTGAACTCATTACTTCATAAGACCTACTGCCTCTGATTGCCTCACCTTGAAGCAACAACTGTTGCCTCAAGGTGCTTTATATTGTAAGGTAGCCCCTACAATAATACAACAGAGAAAACCCCAACAATCATCTATGAGCAAGAGCTTTGGCCTAATCTTCAAAGTAGAGATAGTGTCTCTCCTGAATTGAAATTGAAAGCTGGTTCCACAGAAGAGAGGCCTGAAAACTGACAGGAGGTTCTGCCTCTGATTTTACTTTTAAATACTCTAGGAACAACAAGTAAGCCTGCAGTGCAACAGCAAAGTGCTCTAAATGGGGTGATATGGTACTACAAGGTCATTAAGATAAGATGGGGCCTGATTATTTAAGGCCTTGTATGTGAGGAGCCAATGAAGAGGAGCCAATATAGGATAAATCTGCTCTCTCTTTCTAGTCCCTGTCAGTATTATTGCTGCAGCATTTTGGATTAGCTGAAGGCTTTTCAGGGAGTTTTTAGGACATCTTGATAATAATGAATTACAGTAGTCCAGCCTGGAAGTAAAACATGCATGAATTAGTTTTTCAGCATCACTCTGAGACAGGATATTTCCAATTTTAGAGATATAGTACAAATAAAGCAGTCCTACATATTTGTTTAATATGGGTATGGAAGGACATATCCTGGTCAAAAATGACTCCAAGGTTGCTCACAGTGTTACTGGAGGCCAAGGTAATGCCATCCACAGTAAGAATCTGGTTAGATACAGTATTTCTAAGATTTTAGGGCTGAATAAAATAACCTCAGTTTCATCTGAATTTAGAAGCAGAAAGTTAGTGGCCATCCAGGTCTTTATGTCTTTAAGACATTCCTGCAGTTTAAATAATTGGTGTGTGTTATGGATCGATAGATAAAGTTGGGTGTTATCTGCATAGCGTATGTATGTATTAATAGCTCTAACCTTAATCCTACTATTGATCTTGTTTTTAATGTGTCTCTCTTACTTTTTGGATCTTACTGTGACTCTATCCTGGGCATAGATATATTTGGCTGTGACTGACCTTGCTTCTTCATGATGGTCCCCATTGGCCTGTTGGGTACCTATGTACTTGGAGCTGTGCTACACGTATGCTATCGCACCTTCTGTGAACTTCATCCCTTTGGTTTGGATCACCTACAGTTAACTGATGTCTTGCTCACTCCTGGTGTATAGTTTCATGACATCCATGTACAGGAGTGGCTGAGGGTTATTCCACTCATTTCACTCCTGAAACGATATCTGTATCCGCTCTTAATGAACTGGCTTAGAAGGTTGAGGTCTATCCAGGCTACGTCCACACATAGATGGTTCTTCTTTTTTGTTTAAACGCAGCTTTTTCTATGTGTTTGGACCTTTTGTCCACACGTAAACAGCATTTTGGATCACTGAAAACTGAGATTTTTAAAAACTCCTGTCAGGGTGGAGATTTTTTGCATTTACATGTGGACGAGGAAAACTGAGATTTAGTCACGCAATGTCAAAGGTGTGCGCCACGTTATTGTTTACATGAGATGAATTTCAACAATGGTGGATATAGACAAAATACTGTTGCTGTTAATCTTACAATCTACAGTTTTTACACGCTTACATATCAAAACACAGTTACTGTTCCTCCATTTACAAAGACAGAGGCGTCAGAGTGAACTTTGGACGTGGCTTCTACATTCAGCACAGACACTCTCACAACCCAAATCCTGATGCCAACGCTGTCATTGGGTTTGAATACATAATTAAATTATATATTCGGCATGGATTTTGTCCATTTCTAAGTTTTGAGTCTACACCAGCCATATTTCACAGCACTGTGACTTATGATTATGAATCACTCAGACTAATGTAAAATTTTCAGTTTCTTTCTTAATTAAATAAACTCTGGCCAAGAGAGCCAGTGAGACAAAATTCAAAATACTGTCTTTACTTATTAACATTTGAAATGATACAGAAGCTTGAAAAGTAACACAAAATTAGCTGTGTTTCCAGAAAAAACACAAAAACCTTTCAGAAGTACTTAAGGTTTTGTGAGGGCAAAAAACCCTGTTTACCGTGTTTAAGCTTCTAGACTTCTGATTGGCCAACATTTCTATACGGTTAGGATTTGCCATGTTCTTGACAGCGTTTGACTTTGTTTTTTGCATTTACATGTAGATGGAGATTTTTCAAAACTGCATGTGTGGATGGGATTTAAAGTAAAAAAAAGAAAACGGAAAATCTCTGTTTCAAAAATACGCGCGTAGGTGTGGACGTAGCCCCAGAAGAGCAATGGACATCTTGGTATTTTCAATTGAATTAAATTTTAATCATACAGTGCTAAATCATAACAACCGTTACCTCAAGATTCTTTGTATTAATGTAGTCTTTACCTTACAATGTAGAGTAAAGCAGAGAAAACCCAAACAATCAGAAGCCCACGATGAGCAAGCACTTGGAAACAGTGGAAAGGAAAAACTCCTCTCTACAGGAAGAAACCTATAGATCAGTTGTGGGTGGTGGGAGGGAGTCGTAGGCTTTCTTGTAGTCAATGCAGATGGTGCTCAGGTTAGTCTGCCTGGTCTTAGGGTCCTGGTGTACTGCTCTGTTTAACAGAAGCTGGTCATTTGATCCTCTGGTGTTGTTTTCAATGCCCAGTGCTCATGTAATGATTCATGTGCTTATTCAGCTTGGTTGCTATGATACTTGAGAGGAGCTACCATGTTGTGAAAAAGCAGGCAGTTGGCCAGTAGTTCAACAGTGTTATACCCTTGTGGAGCTCCTTCATGATCGCTATTGCTCTGCCCTGTGTTAGTCAGTCCAGATGAGTACCTGCTTTTAGTTGTGCTGTTTAGTTTAGTTGTGCCACCAGGCAATCATTGAATGAATGTCTTTAGCCTTTCTTCAGCTAGTAGGCATTGTTAGGACCTGGTGCTCTCCAGCTCTTCTTTCTGGAGTTTTTGGATGCTGGCCTTTGTCAAGGTGACTGATTCTTGTTCTGGGAGGTTGCTTTGGTCTGCTCTTAGTCCATGATATTGATATTGTGTGACACCTTTCTTATACATATTCCTCCAGTACTGCTCAGTCACAGCTCTTTGTGGGTCTGATCTTGTACTACTGTTTCTTTGCAGTGGGAGTACACCTTTTCTGTAATGCATCTCCTCAGCCTAGTGGCCAAAGCTGTGAGCCTTTTTTTGATGGTTTCAAGAACTTTATTTATAGATATATTGTTGTATTGCTTATTTGTCCAGGACCTGTCTCTTACGATGCCCTTTGCACCTCTGTTAGCCGACTAACATCCTTCTAGTCTTCCCTGAGTTTGCTTTCTGGCCTTCTTCTTAATGGGGGGCTTTTTCTACATGCATTTTTAATCTTATATCCAAGTGTGGCAGTGGCATATATGAGCTTACTGGTGTCTGTGATGCCGGTATTAGAGATGGTGAGCAGAGTTCTGTTCTCTGTGAGGATCTCCTCTGATGAGACTCAGGGAGCCGGGAGAGTTGTGCTCTTGGTTGTGTGGCTACATTAAGTCTGCCCACAGTCTTCATCCCCAGCTCAGTAGATGCATCATCTACAGTTACACTGCTCTCTGCCTGAGTTAGCTCATCATATTTATATGGTCAACTGTTGTTCCCATTGTGCTGTAGCCTCGGGATCTCGCAGCTTTGATGGTTGCCTCCGCTTATTGATGTTCTTGCACTGAGCTACCGTCTGACTATCTTCTGACTTTCATTCCTCTTCTCTCCAGAGCATACCTCCACCTTCTTCCTACGGTCACTACAGATCACATCAAATGTTACTCTGCTAACAACATGTTCCACAGAGACTCCTGC